TTTCTTACATGTCAATTAATATTTTTTTCATAATGTATTATATTTTTCATATAAAAAATTTTAAAAATTTTGTCAAATGATTAAATCACGTTATATTGTCCTTATTTTTTTTTACATTTCGTATTGTTCCTACTGTTGCCATAAATTAATTTTAATGTACGACAAACAATTTCATTAAAATTATTATGTGTTAAAATTATTATTATGAATTTCTCATAAGAAATAAACAAAAATTAATTACGATTAATTTACAAATTTATTAAAAACAGATTATTATAAAAATTGTAACAGATCGATTTCTTTCACGAGACAATAAATAATGAGATTCCGACCGCAAAATCTCACAATCTTATGCTCGCTTAGCAACACGATTTGAAGTCACGGGAGCATGTGATAACGAGAATGCGTGTACCCTAGCGAGCATATCTCGGGTTATCGGCTTTTTTCGGTGAGAGCAGTGAATAGCAAGTGAGCACGGAAAGTGTTATGTTAACTATGCGAAAGATCAATGCGACTGGACCGTAGGTCATCGGGCAAGAGATAGATTTGACACGATCCATCATTAAATCGAACTGACCGCGCACATCTCTGCTTTATAATAATGTATATTAATATAGATATAAACAATTGCAAAATAAAAATGTAAAATACACGCACGCACACACATTTAAAATTAATACATAAAATGCTGAAAATACCATATAGAAATAATATTCATTCACGGAAAATTGTTCTTATCGTATGTTAAATAAATACAGTTTCATAGAAACAATTTTAATTTGTGTTACACCGATCTCTCACATGACTAATATAAAACGAAAGATCCTCGAATTTAAACGTTGTTTTTAGTTAGCAAAAGAAAACTGTACGAAGGAACAATAGAAGGAAGAGGAAGAAAAGCGAAGATTAGAGGAATCTGCTTCCCAATCTAAATCTTGCTTCAAAACCTTCAAAGCCACTAGAGCTGAAGAATATGGCGGTCAATGCCATCGTCTGAATACTATTAGTCGAGACGCCTGGTATATTTTCATCGTGGCCTACTAATATACCGCACGAAGTCTCCGCTTGAATCATTTCTCTATAGATCTCGATCAAATACAAAAAATGTTGAAAAATACTGTTAAAGATTTCGAAAGAATTAACAATTGCTTTATTCATTTTAAGCATGATGTAATAACGATAAATAACATAATTGATGATGATGGATATTGAAAATAAGATTGGAAATAACCTGGTTTCCATTAAAGCGATTCAACTATTTAAAACTTGGTGTTTGCACAAGTCTACTTTTATTATGCACATATGTGATAATACTTCTCGTACAATTGATCGTTATTTTCTTAATGTTTCCTTCCCTCTCCTCTCCTCGGCATTACCATAAGTAATAAAGCTAATAAGCATTGATAATTTAGCATTTAAAAATGTTCTAAGATCTTTTCTTCGATAGATAGAGCTATTCTCTTATTTTCGCTTAAAGATAAGCAATTTTCAAAATTCAAAATTCACAATATATGATATCTTGCAAATAATGATATCTCATTAATATTAAAAATTACAAAATACAACGATATAATAATTTTCTTTATGGTGCGTGTGTGGTGTGTGTGTGTGTGTGTGTGTGTGTGTGTGTGTGTGTGTGTGTGCGTGTGTATATGTGTGTATTGTATTGCGTTACAAAGTATATTTCAAATTTATAACCCAAAAGTTTATCTATTGATCATAAATTGTTAAGTACTCTGATAAATTAATTAATATCACGTCATATTGTCTAAAACATTATTTCTATCATTATCATGCATTCGAGTTCTTGATAGTTTATCGATGTTATTTCAAGCGAACGTGGTCTCTGAACATGGTCCCTGGTCTGACGATAGGTGAAGTATTACGGAATCACGTAGGCTTCCATATATTCATGAATACAGTCGCACGCATAGGAAAAGTGCATTTGCATGTGAACAGTATGGGTCTCGTTCGGGTCGGCAAATATCTGACTTTGACCAACGTATAATTAATTTCGAACTTACGATTGTTCTTTTTCACTAATGTTAAAGTTTTTTAAAAAAGGAAAAAAAAGTACAATTGTACCATTATAAGGCGCATTCTTTAACAAGAAAAT